TTTTTTTTTTTGGTATTCACTTAAGATAGCTTACCTGTTACCAATACCAGCACACAGCAATGAAAACAACAACAACTCTTTTATAGATTATTAATGCTTTTGACCTAAATACCGTCATTGATTTTTGGTTTGCTTGGGTTGGGACGTTGAACAATGTTTGTTATTTTCTCAAGTTCTGGTTTGAGTTGTATGGTTGGTTCTTGAGGTTGGGGTTTTTTTGAAGAGTGCAGCTCTCTGAGATTTTTTTTTTAAATGAAACGAAATGTCACAGAGATGCTTAGAATGCAAGCTGATTACATGGTTCATTATGGGAATTATTGAAAAAAAATTTTTGAATTAATTAATTATTGAAATTTGGGGGGAAAATAGAATATAATTTTCAAAAAAAAAAATAAAATAAATTAAAAAAATAATTATAATAATAAATAATTTTGAAATTTTCCTAAATAAAAATATTGCATAATTCATATTAAAAAATCATCATTTTTCCATGGGGGAAAAATAAATAAATAAAATAAAAAATAATAATAACAATAAAATAATTTTGAAATTTTCCTGAATAAAAATATTGGATAATTCATATTTAAAAAAAATCATGATTTTCCCTTAGGCGGAAAAATAAATAAATTAAATGAAAAAAATATAACAATAATAAAATAATTTTGAAATATTCCTACATGAAAATATTGGATAATTCATATTTAAAAAAATCATCATTTTCCCTTGGAAAAAAAATAAAATGAAAAAAATTTAAATAATAATAATATTAATAATAATAATAATAATAATAATAATAATAATAATAATAATAATAATAATAATAATAATAATAATAATAATAATAATAATAATAATAATAATAAAATAATTTTGAAAAATATTGCATAATTCATATTTAAAAAAATCATCATTTTCCCATGGGGGGGAAATAAGTAAAAAATGAAAAAAAGAAAATAAAAAATAAAAAATAATAATAATAAAATAATTTTGAAATTTTTTTTACTGAAAATATTGGATAATTCATATTAACAAAAATCATCATTTTCCCTTGGAAAAAAATAAATAAAAAAATAAAATGAAATTAAAAAATAATAACAATAATAAAATAATTTTGAAATTTTCCTAAATACAAATATTGGATAATTTATATTTAAAAAAATCACCCTTGGAGAAAAAAATAAATAAATAAAAAATAAAATGAAAAATAATATAAAAAATAATAATAATAATAAAATAATTTTGAAAAATTTTTTACTGAAAATATTGGATAATTCATATTTAAAAAAAAAATCATCATTTTCCCTTGGGGAGAAAATAAATAAATAAATAAATAAAATGAAATGAAAAAAATAACAATAATAAAATAATTTTGAAATTTTCCTAAATAAAAATATTGGATAATTCATATTTTTTAAAAAAAAACAACATTTTCCCTTGGGGGAAAAATAAATAAATAATAAAATGAAAAAAAAAATAAAAAAATATTATAATAAAATAAAAAAATTTTGAAATTTTCCTAAATAAAACTATTGGATAATTCATAATTTTTTATAAAAAAAACACTCATAATTCAGTAACATTTTTCATTTTTACATTTTTCCCCTGGGGAAAAAAATAAAATGAAAAAGTAAAATAAAAAATAATAATAACAATAAAATAATTTTGAAATTTTTCTAAAAATAAAACTATTGGATAATTCATAATTTTTTATAAAAAAAAAAATCATAATTTTCCTTTTGAAAAATAATTTCAGTAACATTTTCTAAAAGGAATTAATAGGAATAAAAAGATCGTTGAAATAAAAAAAATCAATACTGAACATAGGTTTAGACAGAGGAATTCGAGAGAACAATAACCTACCAGCTAGGCAAAAAGTCTTTTTTAGAGATAAAAGGAAATTGTCCTTATAGCTATATTAATTATAATTATAATCTATATATTTTTATTGTAATTCAAAAATCCTAATAAGGTAGTAAAATTAGTTTTTTTCAATAATTTTTCTAAAATTTGTCACAACAATTTCTAGTTTTTATATGTTATTGTTTTTATAATCTTTAGGTGTTTAAAGTGCTATTTTTATATTTTCATATGATTTTTTAGCTTTTAAGATTTGCTGATATTTTATATATTTTTTATTTGTTTTTTAATTCCAGTTTTTTTTTATTTCTTAAATTTATTTTATGGTTCATAACTTGTTGATAACTTGATTTATTTTTTTTCTTAAATTTGTGCAATTTATGAGATTTTTAAAAAAAAAGAGTCATTTTTGTATTTTTCCAAAATGCAACAAAAGACTTAAGACATATACTTTTGAATGAGAACCCTCTACACTTGTATTATTATTATTATTATTATTATTATTATTATTATTATTATTATTATTATTATTATTATTATTATTATTATTATTATTATTATATTATTATTATTATTATTATTATTATTATTATTATTATTATTATTATTATTATTATTATTATTATTATTATTATTATTATTATTATTATTATTATTATTATTATTATTATTATTATTATTATTATTATTATTATTATTATTATTATTATTATTATTATTATTATTATTATTATTATTATTATTATTATTATTATATTATTATTATTATTATTATTATTATTATTATTATTATTATTATTATTATTATATTATTATTATATTATTATTATTATTATTATTATTATTATTATTATTATTATTATTATTATTATTATTATTATTATTATTATTATTATTATTATTATTATTATTATTATTATTATTATTATTATTATTATTATTATTATTATTATTATTATTATTATTATTATTATTATTATTATTATTATTATATTATTATTATTATTATTATTATATTATTATTATTATTATTATTATTATTATTATTATTATTATTATTATTATTATTATTATTATTATTATTATTATTATTATTATTATTATTATTATTATTATTATTATTATTATTATTATTATTATTATTATTATTATTATTATTATTATTATTATTATTATTATTATTATTATTATTATTATTATTATTATTATTATTATTATTATTATTATTATTATTATTATTATTATTATTATTATTATTATTATTATTATTATTATTATTATTATTATTATTATTATTATTATTATTATTATTATTATTATTATTATTATTATTATTATTATTATTATTATTATTATCATAATTTTAAAAATTAATTATACATAAATAAAATTGGTTTTCCAATATTTTTCTCCAAAATTTGTCAAAGCAATATTCATGGAGTCTTTCTTATTAATCATTGTTGTTACAATGAATGGTTATTTTAAAATGTTTTTTTTTAATATTTGTAAATTTTTAATATTTCAAAATTTTATTATTATTTATATATTTTTTATTTTTAATTTTTTTGTTTTTAATTTTTTTTATGATTTATAATTTTTTGATATGTTAATGTACTCTTTTTCTTTAGATTTTTCATTTCTAAAGATTTATTTAATATATTTTTTTTTAATTTTATGAAATTAAAAAGAGTCAGAAGATTGCTTTAACAGAAACAAAAGACTTAAGGCACATACATTCGAATAAGAGAACCCCCTCGACTTGTAATGTACAAAAGACTTAAGACACAAACCTACAATTTAATGAGAGACAATTTGACGAAGCCATTTACGATAAGAGAGCGGGAGAAAAAGAGAATATTTATGAATTCGAAGAGCAAATATTAAGACAAAGGCATAATATATTTATGGAAATCAATATTAATAAAAAAGTGAATCATAATAATCAACCTCCAAGGAGAGACAATTCACTGAAGATGTATGACTTAAATTAAATATACCACATTCATAGCAATCATCATAAAGGGAGAGAGAGAGAGAGTTTACTGAGTTCAATAGAAAATGTTTAAGAGCAAATCTTCAAGTTTTTCATGACATTGATGTTCATTGTGTAATATTGCTTCAAAATAAAGTCTTAAGACACCAAACTACGATATAATGAGGGATAATCTGATAAAGTTTTAGGGATGACAGACCTAGAGCAGGAGAGAACACTTCTTCATTAAGATGACATACTTGGCGCACTGCTTCGGATACCTCCCCCACAAAAAAGTTTAAAAATGTGAATAACCAAAAGGGTCATAAAAAGGAAATAAGCACTGAATTCTCTTCAAATTTCTGGATCAAAGATCTGGATCACCACTCCTTCTGGTACCTCCCACACAAAAGGGTGAACATTTGGAATAACCATGACAAAAAAAATATTCATAAAAATCCTCATTTCTGCAGAGCTCTGCTACAAAAATGCCCTACAAAAATATTTACATTTTTTTAAATGAAAAACAAAAGACTTAAGGCACGAACGTGAAATGACATCAAATATAAAATATTTCAAACTTATCAACTCTCTTCAAAATCTAAAAAAATTTTAACTGAATCAGCAAAGGGGAAAGGCCTTCATAAATCTGCACCCTCTAAGAAAATACAAAAGACTTAAGAAACAAACTTGTCGCAAAAATGTCATCCATCATTTGTTGATGGATATTTGATAATTTTCTTTTTCGAGCTTATAATGACCTAAGGAGATAGGATTGAGAATTGGAATCTACCGAAATCCTTATTCATGATGACAAAAATTATTTTTTGTCTTTTATTGTTTTTTTTTTTTTTTTTGAATTCTTTGTTATAATTTTTAAATAATTTATTTTTTTCTGTTTTTTTTTTTTTTTATTTTCAGGTTAAAATGAATTTACAAAATTCCCGACGATTTTTATACATCAAAACCTGCAACAATATTTGATAAGAGAAGAATATAACAAAAACCCTTCAGGCTATCCTCGTTACCAAAGATAGCTACAAAAACAACAACAACATAAATACCAACAAAAACAAAAATTCCTTCCTAAAAAAAACATCAGCTAACTTTCAAACCCTCAAAAAACACCCAACATTTCGGCACAACTTCCCCCCCACACACACTCCCCCCAAGGCATACCATGAAGTTTTGCACTATGAACGGTCCAACAGAATCCGAAGTTGAAAGTATGCTAATGAGCCCCTGCTGGGGACCCACACAGAACGGTGGCCAGGATCAATATCTGCTGGATGGCCACAAGTTGTTGTTGGAACACGATTTGGACTCGCTGCCCAGTGATACGGAACAAAAGAACTCCCTCGATGTTTTGGACAATTTGTTGATGAACACCACCAGCCTAAATAGTTTGTCCGATCTGAAACCGTTACCTCCCTTTACCGGCTATACGGGCCATTTGTCCATCAATGGCATATCGGGGCATCATTACCATGCCATTGCCCAGAGGCTGCCGGATGAGAGCAATAACAATTACATACAGAGTGCTTACCATGCGGCCGGAAATGCGGCCATACAAATGGCCAACTCCTCGTCATCGGGCAATTCTCCACTGTCGTCCACACATGGAGTGGGAGGAGGCGGCGGCGGTGGTGGTGGCGGAATGTCACTCACCTCCAGCCTTTCAAGTAGTCACAACAATTCCTCTGCCGATCACAATATTGTCTCATCATCCACCTGCCTGCCCGAAAGTGTTCTCAGTGGCGATGCCGATGCCTGCCTCCATGACGTCAAGCTCTTCTCCGATAGTCAATTAGATAGTAAGCTTTACTCCCTGGCCGACAGCTGTGTGATGGCCAGCCACCCCTCCACAACCAGCAACAACAACACAAATACAACCTCAGCGACGACGGGTCTGGCTGGCCAGGACCCCGATTCGGGTGGGGTGCGCATCTATGCCGATGCCAAAGATCTAACGGAATATGTGGACATGAATTCGATAGACGACATTGCGGCCATCATCGGGAGCGCAATAGCCGACACTACAGTACCTAACCAGTTGGACAAGGACGATGGCAATGACACGAGAGATTCGTGGATTGATTTGGATGCCTGGATCGAGGGTAATTGCATACAGCAGGAGGGTGGTAAGCTGGTGGTGGCCCAACAGGATTCGCTGAGTGATTTTATGCTGCCCCAATCGCCCATCCACCCGAGCAGTTCAACGTTGCAGAGCCTGCTGACACATGGCTATATGCCGCTGCTACAGAATCGCCTACAAAACGGACCTCCGCCCTCGAACATCAAAGGTGAGACACCCAGTTCTACCTCATACTGCAATGAACTGACCAGCTCCACATCGGCCAGTCCACCGGGAGCGGTGGTCTCGACGACAGATAATCTCATGATCAATCCCAGATACCTTACGAATCCCACACAGTATCACATTTCCATGAAATCGGATGGTCTGTGTAGTCCCGATTTGATGGGAAACGGAGGTGGAGGAGGTGGAGGTAATTTTCCCCACACCACAACAGTGACGCCAACGGGGACGCCGAAAACCAAACGTTCGAGGTCCACCAAAAAATCCAATAACCAACAGCAGCAGCAACAACAGCTTAGCAGTAATAGTGGTGGTGGTGCGGGACAGCTAATGCAGGGCAATGGCTCAACAATGGGTGGCGGACCACAACAACTAAATTCCATTACCTCACCCACCTCTGTAAACTTCAATGCCAACGATCTGTCCGGCCTGCTGGGCAAAGAGAAACCTGTGCATCGCTGCAGCATCTGTAATCGAGGCTTCCTGAATAAGAGTAACATCAAAGTCCACCTGCGGACGCATACCGGGGAGAAACCCTTTCGCTGTGAAGTGTGTGCCAAGGCGTTTCGCCAAAAGGCCCATCTGCTCAAACATCAACAGATACATAAGAGAATTGGGCGTGACTGACAAACACACAATCACGCACACCACCGATCGCCATCGAATGGGCCGTCGTCAACATCGTCCATGGCCTCTGCCGTTTCCAAGTTGTATGCCTCCCCAGTGGGTCAGCATCATTTTGGTAGCGGTCGTGGTGGTTTGGGCGGCGAAACGCCCCTGGTGGTGGTCAATGATGAAGAATTTCGTTTTAAGACAATCATACTGCAAAAACCCAAGGCGGCGGGAATGTTCAATGGCAATACATAGGAAATTGGTTCATATTCTCCGGATTTGAAATTAGGAATTTTGTTCTTAATTTCCTCCTTTGGGGTTGGGAATTTTGTTCCTAGTTCCCCTCATTAGGATTGGGATTTTTTTCCGGGATTCTTTTGGGAATTATGCATTTTCTTTGGAATTAGGAATTTTGTCCCTAATTCTCCATTTAAGGTTAGGAATTTTGTTCCTAATTTCCCTCATCAAAAAAAAAAGAATTTTGTTCCTTTTTTCTTTTGGAGTTAGGAATTTTATTCATATTTCGTTATTGGGAATAGGAATTTTGTTCCCATTCTCGGAACTTTGAAATAGGAAAATTGTTCTTATTTCTTATTTTTGGGATTAGGAATTTTGTTCTTAAAATACCCTTCTGGGGTTGGGAATTTCGTTCTTAATTTCCCTCATTAGGATTGTGAAGATTGTTCCTATATTTTTCTTGGAGTTAGGAATTTTATAGGTATTTCCCTTTTTGAAATTATGAATCTTTTTCCTATTTCCCCATTTGAGGTTAGGAATTTTGTTCCTAATTCCCCAAGTGACTTTGGTAATTTCGTTCCTAACTTCCCCCCATTAAGATTGGGAATTTTTCTCCAAAATTCTTTTTTTGGGTTAGGAATTTTATTCGAATTTCCTTCTTGGAATTATGATTTTTTTTCCTAATTTCCCATTTGAGGTTAGGAATTTTGTTCCTAATTTTCCAAGTGGGTTTGGGAATATTTTTCCCAATTTCCCTCATTAAGATTGGGAATTTTGTTCCTAAACTCTTTTTGGGGTTGGCAATCCTATTCGGATTTAATTTTTGGAATTATGAATTTTGTTCCTAATTCCCCATTTGAGTTTAGGAATTTTCTTTCTTTCTTTTTGGAGTTAGGGATTATATTTGCATTTTCTTATTGGGAATAGGAATTTTGTTTCGATTCTCCCAATTTGGAAATAGGAATTTTGTTCGTAATTCATATTTTCGGTATTAAGAACTTTGTTCCTAATTAACATTTATTTGTTTGAGAATATTTATTATATTTTCCCTTTTTTGGGATTTTTTTCTTTTTGGAGTCATGAGTTTCTTTCCTAACTCTCCATTTATGGTGCCTAATTCCCCTAATTAAGAAAAAGAATTTTGTTCCTATTTTCTTTTTGGAGTTAGGAATTTTATTCGTATTTCGTTATTGGGAATTAGGAAATTTGTTCTTAATTTCCCTCTTCAAGATAAGGAATTTTGTTCCCCTTTTTGGTTTTGGGATTACGAATTTCGTTCCTAATTTCCAGATTTTGAAATAGGAATTTTGTTCTTAATTCATATTTTTGTGATTAAGAATTTCGTTCTTAATTTTATTTATAAATTTGATAATTAATTTATTCTATTTTCCCTTTTAACTTTCTTGAATTGCGAATTTGATTCCCGATTTCCATCTTCAAGATAAGGAATTTTATCGCCGATTTCTTTTCCTAAAAATTTTCGGAATACGAATTTTGTTCCTAATTTCCAGATTTTGAAATAGGAATATTGTTCTTATTTCATATTTTTTTTTGATTAGGAATATTGTTCTCAATTTTCTTTATAAATTTGAGAATTAATTTATTCTATTTCCGCTTTTAACTTTCTTTATTTGCGAATTTTATTCCCAATTTCCATCTTTAAGCTATGGAATTTTATTCCCGATTCCTTTTCCTAAAAATTTTGTTCCCAATTTCCCTTCTTGAATTAGGAATTTCGCTCCCAATCTCCGCTTTTGGGTTAGGCAGTATTTTAACAAAGTCAAAACAAATAAGAGAAAATAAATTCAACATCCTCAGTGAGTTGCAAATAGAGATCAAAGAGTTCAACAAAATGCAGGGCATTTTGTTTGCTTTCTCTTTATCTCTCTTTCACTTACCAACAGGGATATCCAATTGTTTTTAAATTCTCTTCAAAAAAAAAAATGTCTTCTCATTCATTGATTCACTCATCAAACATCAAGAGTTTGTGATTTGTTTTTATTTCTCTTCAAACAAAGAGTTTTTCCTCTACTCAAAAAAAATAAACGAAAGAGAAAGAGAAAAACTCTTTGCAGGCGGCTCAAAGTTACCAACATATTGATCGGATGCAGCCCTTCCATCTCATACTGGGAGAGTAACATCAAGGAGAGATATAAATAAATCTTTGAATTTTTTTTTTGTTTTCTCTCCTTGACCCTCTTCCAGTTGAGATTCCTTTTTGTTGTTGTTACTGACCCCCAAACCACACTTTGGTAGGCCACAGCCATTTGCTGCTGGGGGCCTCCCTTAGTTACTGAGGGTCGGTCATATGAAGTGCTCCATACGATCAATTGGGCAATTTGGTTAAATCTTTGATGCTACACGAAATTGTTGTTATAAAGCCTAAATAAAATCAAATTACATTCTCCAAACAAAAATGCTAAATGCCAAAACATAACAGCAAATTCGTTATTCGTTGTTGTTGATTGCTTTTGATCTCTTAGATATAAATAGAAAAAAAATTAAAATAAAACGATATAAAAATACAGGTCTTCGATAAATAGAAGAAAAGTATTCCTAAGATTCGAGAACCATGATAGTTGCCCTCCATAAATATTCTTAAAAAAATCACAGCAGAAACCCACAAAATAATTTAAAAAAAAAAACTATTTCGAGAACCATCAAAAAATCACATTTCGAAAAATTTTTTTCCGAAATATCTATATTTTGTACATGATTTTCTAAAATAATTTATAAATAATCAACTCTCCAATAGGTCATTCACAATTTTTTTTTATAAAAAATTCAAATTTCCATAAGTCCAAAAAGTATGTTATAGAAAACCCTACGTTTCTGACAGGATTTTATAAAAATATTTGCAAAAACAATTAAGTTTCCAAATATTTTCATTACGTAAAGGCCCTTAATGTATTCTTTTTTTGAAAATTCAAATTTTTAATAGAATCTTAAAAATATATTAAAAAACCTTAGAGTTATGGTTATGTGGTTACAGACTCGATAAACTTTTAATTAAATTTAAATAAGCCGTTTTAAGTATTTAAAAATACCAATGGAACCTTTCAAAAATATATATTTAAAACATCGATATTTCTTGTGGAACCTTGAAAATTTTCCAAAAAAATCGATATTTCTTGTGGAACCTTAACAAATATTCCTTAAAGATCCACTAACAAACTTTTCAAAAAAGTCTTTGAAAAAAAAACATATTTCTGAAATGTGACTTGTGACCCTTCGTAAATTCTACATATCAAGGAGGTCCTAAAAAATATCTTTATTTAAATCAAAGTTTCAAGATGGAGAGGAAAAATTTACGTCTTAAGGAGGTTTTCTTTAAATCCACGATTCGAGGAGGCCCTTAAGAAAATTTCAAGGAATTCGTGTCGTGAAATAGACCTTAAAATAAATATAAAAAACGTTTCGGTGGGGTCCTTAGAAATTTATAAAAACATACACGTTTATTGGAGGTCCTTAAAATTAATTATTAAAAACAAAATCACTCTGAAAAATAAATATTTGAGGAAATCCAATTTTTGAGGGGGTCCTTAAAGGAAATGCTTGAAAACCCCATCAATCGACGGGATCTTTAAAAGAAATATTTAAAAAAATCACGTTACGAAGAGTTATTAAAATAATTAAAATATTTTAAATATTATTATTTTAAAAAATTACGATTCGGAATGGTCCTGTAAAATAAATATTTTTAATTATGGTTTTCAAGAAAAATTCTTAAAGAAATCCAAGTTTTCAGAAGGTCTTAACGGAATATTTTCAAAAAATAGTCGCTCAAGAAATATTCCTTCAAGTATTTTTTTTTTAATCTCAGCCCATCAGAGTGCCTCAGATTTTCGGAAAAATACGTTAAAAAATGCCTTAAATAAGTCCTCAAGAAAAATTCTTAAAGAAATCCAAGTTTTCAGAAGGTCTTAACGAAATATTTTCAAAAAATAGTCGCTCAAGAAATATTCCTTCAAATATTTTTTTTTAACCCCAGCCCATCAGAGTGCCTCAGATTTTCGGAAAAATACGTTAAAAAATGCCTTAAATAGGTCCTCAAGAAAAATTCTTAAAAAATCCAAGTTTTCAGAACGTCTTAACGCAATATTTATTAAAAAATCCTCACTCAAGAAATATTCCGTCAATTATTATTTTTTAAGAACAAATACATAATATAGCCTCAGATTTGTGAAAAAAACTACTTTAAAAAATGCCTTAAATTCTTAAAAAAATCCAAGTCTCCAGAAGGTCCTAAAGAAATATTTTCAAATAATAGTCACTCAAGAAATATTCCTTCAAATATATATATTTTTAAAATCCAAGCCCAAACAAAAAAAAATCTTTTCAAAAATGTCTCAAATGTCTCCAAATAAATTCTTAAAAAATCCAAGTTTTCAGAAGGTCTTAACGAAATATTTTTTTTTTAATCATCACTCAAGAAATATTCCTTCAATTTTTTTTAAATCCAAGCCCATCGAGCCTCCGAGTTTTTTACCCTAAGCCATATGGTTACAAATATATATCATTTGATATGGCCAAAATGTGCCTCGTCGAAATAACGGTTTTAGCCCCAAGGCCTGTTTGGAATAAATTCCAATTTAGAACACTTAGAACCGATCTAAGAGTGTCTGCCCGCTTGTCTGTCTGGATGGTGCGCACGATAACTCTTAACATCGTACATCTCAATATTCTTATCAAACATAGACCGAGTTCGGAGATGGGCAATATTCGCCCACTCCTTCTGGCACCTCCTCCACAAAATGTCAAAATTTGAACAGAAAATGAGCTGAGGGTATACATATGCCAATAAAACCTAGCAATACTTCTTAACTAGTAAAACTTCTAACTTAAATCCAATAGGTCCTCCAGAAATATATAATTTTTTTTTTCAAAAAATCCATGTCCTCAATGTGTTGTCAAGAAGCATTTTTTTATCCAACCATGAGAATATTTAAAAATGCAAATCAATGTTGGACACCCACCACTTCTAAAAAAAATTCAAAAAAAAATTTAAATATTCTACACCACCCCAAAAAAAACGTTTTAAA